GACCAGCTGGGCATAGGTTGTTAATTGGACATGGCTGTAAGTTGATTGAACATAGATTGTTGTTGGAGCAGCGGGGCATAAGTTGTTGATTGGACCTGGTCGTAAGTTGATTGAACATAGGTTGTTGATTGGACTTGGTCATAGGTTGTTGATTGGACCTGGGTGTGCCAAGAAGACGGAGAATGGGTTGGACGGAGTTGCTGCCATGGCTATTGTCTCATCGTTTACACATGAATATGAAGCGCCGTTGTGACAAAAATCGCTCATTCGCAGTGAAGTCAATGGATGCGATGTGTTGGCATAACCAGATGAAGCTAAAAGTAGTCTATGCTGCTACGGAAGAGAAAGCAAAGCCGAATGAATATAATTCTGATACTGCATCAAGAGGTTTGGGAAGATTCTTCGGAGCCCTCTTTGGTGCAGCAATCGTGTTCTCCTTTAAGATGATTTTCGAGAAGCTATGGGACGATTACAAGAATACGTTGGCGTCTCAGAGGCTTGATGACAAGTTGAAGATATTTGAGAAAGGTATAATTAAAGATGTTAATGGGAAATTCAGAGTCCTAACCAAGGAATCGAGGGTAGAGATGGAGAAGATATTTGTTGAAAGGATGAAAGATATGGAGAAGAGGGAGAGAAAGAAGACTAGAGAAGAGTTGGAAGAGATGGAGAGGAAGCTAAAAAAAAGTTTGAGGAAGAGATGGTGAGGAGATTTGAGGAGCTGTGGAAGGCCAAAGATGTGTGCAACATTTAAAAATGAGTTTTTCATAGAGGACACCATTTTGGTGATTATCATTGATATTGTACCAAATGTGTGTAACATTTTACTGAAGATTAAAAAGCAAACTTCTAATATTTGACTAGAGAGAGTGAAAACTATAAATAACTAGGAATTGATTAATACATTTTTACTAAAGATTAAAAAGCAAACTTCTAATATTTGACTAGAGAGTGAAAACATTAATACATTTTACATATTGATTACTTTTGTATTTAATATTATATAAATTTGATGTTTATAATAAATAATTATCTAAGTTAGAAGATTAAGCATTTGTATCAAATTGTTGGATATATACAATGTTATACATAAAAAGAAATAGACCGTTCATTAATAAAATTTACAGAATATGGAAGACATTTTATTTGGCACAAATCTTTAACTTTTATATCCGAATCAATATTCACTATAGTTTCCTAAAAAAAATGATTGATCTTTTTTTTTTTATCAATTACGTCTGTAAAAATATATTGATCATACAAATTGTAATATGTTTTGCTATTACCAAGACATCTACATCATCTCAATAGAGGTGTTAGTATGCATATTTTTGTTTATTTCATTATAACCTTGAATCATAAGAAGAGAATAATCGATGCTTGATTGTATTTTTGTCTTACTCCATTTATCATTTTGCTGTGATTTTTATCTTTTACATCAATTCATTATTATTTTACTGGGTTTACAATTTGTGATGGAGTAAAGTTTTCTATCGAGAGTCTTGATTAAAAACGTTACTTTGTCTAACACAAATTGTTTCAATTGCATTAGAGGGTCATTGGTAAATTTGCTTTAAAAGCTATGAAAGCATTTAAAAAAAAATTAAATTTTAAATTTTTCCAATTAGACTTGTTGGATTTAAGAGTCTTAGAAGTCTTAAAATCATTCTTTAATTAAAGTTGGTAAATTGACTTTAAAAGCTATGAAAGCGTTAAGTGAAATATATAAATTGTACTCCCTCC